AGTTCAGGTTGTGGTTGTTAAGGAATCCTGTGCAGTCGTTAAGCAGAACATCAGGGGGTGGCTGGTTTCCTCGTTGACTTGACTTATTGGAAGCTGGCAGTGAAGCTGGCCAAGTGGGGGTGATGTGACTGTGGGAAGCTGTGACCATTGGAACTGTCTGCCGGTTGCCCAAGTGCCCCAGTCGTGATCCTGTGACGGTGGGGACACTGCGACAGCCACAACTTCAAGGACCGGGCATAAGTCATCTTGTTGAGCACAGTTGTAACTTCGAATGGTTGCTGAGGAAGAAGTCACTAAGTGAGAACTACCTGTATAGTCCAAAGCCCTTCCCTGTCTCTCATGGTTGACACAGCATAATGATACCCCTGAGGACAACAATTGGACCAACCCCTTGGTGGGCTCCGTAGTGCCCTGGAGGGGGGTCTCTGGCCTGCTGGGAAAACCATCTCTTCATCCTTGGGGTGACATGATAGCAGTGTTCCAATATTTGAGGGGCTGCCACAAAGAGGAAGAGGTCAAATTATTCTCCAAAGCACCTGTACATAGAACAAGAAGCAATTGGTGGAAACTAACCAAGGAGAGAAGCAACCTGGAATGAAGGAGAAATTTCCTGACAATGAGAACCATTAATCAGTGGAAAAACTTGCCTCCAGAAATTGTGGAGGCTCCATCGCTGGAGGCTTTTAAGAAGAGACAGGACAGCCATTTGTCTTGAATGGTATAGGGCCTCCTGCTTAAGTTGGAAGGTTAGACTAGAAGACCTCCAAGGTCCTTTCCAACTCTGTTATTCTGTTAACCTTTGTATGCGGACAATCCAATTCACTCTCCAGCCAGAAGGCTCTTCAGCTGGAAAGTCAGAAGTTCTCCAGTTGCAATTCTAGAGAGGACTGGCAGCGTCCTTCCATTCTGGCTGGTTTCCATTTTCTAACCATCCTTTAATGTGGGTTCCCTCAAGGTGGGGCCCTCCAAATGCTCTGGAGCTCTGGGTGGGTTTTCCTCAGCCACAAAGCCTGAGAAGTGAGAGTTGGGCACCCAAGACTTTTTATCACATCCATGTGGTGCTGAAGTCTGGCGGTACAACCACTCAACTCCACTTCCAGATCCTGAGCACTGAATAATCAACACCCACATGCACGCTGGAGCCTTTCTCTCATCAACCAACCCATCCTCTGGCGTGCCAGGGCTGGCCGGGCAGCCGCTGTAACCTATCCATGGGTCATTTTTGTTATTTTAACAGTCTGGTTGTATAAAACCAAAGCCTGAAAGTCATGCCAGGCCTAATTTTTGCTTGCTAGCTGATCTCCAAATCCTGATGACATCAGTCAGGAATGATTCAGAAATATTAGCTGGTTTGGGGAAATGCGTAGTCTGTACTTGAGATGGCATTGGGAAGCAAAGTGAAATAATCCATTTTTGGGGCCTTTTAATGACAGGAAAACCTCTGGAAGAGGAGGCGGCTCTCCTGCTGAACTGGTCCACAGTCCACTATATTCCGATCTATTAAAATTTATATTCCATCCAGCGATTGTTGGATTAGTGCAAGCCGTAGTTTTCCGGGTTGGGAAGGAGATCTGTGATACACACTTTCTCTACTCCAAATTAAAATCATATCATCCTCAATCAGCAATGGGTGGAAACTAATGAAGGAGAGAAGCAACTTAGAACTGAGGAGAAATTTCCTAACAGTTAGAACAATTAATCAGTGGAACACAAAGTGCCTCCAGAAGTTGTTTAATGCCC